ACACCAGCCACCCCCCCGCCACTGCAGCCCCCCCCGCGCTCGCCACGGTCCCCCCCAGTGCTCCCAGTCCCCCCCAGTGCTCCCAGTTGAGGCAGGACCGCCTTTCGGGACTGGGGGCGCCCCCATCTCTCTTTTGGGGGGGGTCCCCTCATTGCCCCTCCCTTCCCTCAATTTTCCCCGTTTTCCTCCCTCCCAGTGTTTCCAGTACAAACGCCAATAAACCAGTACGGGACTGGTGCTGTTCCCGTCTCTTTATTTTGGGGTTCGGGGGGGGGTCCCCAATTCCTCCCCCCCCCCCAAATTCCTCCTCCCCAATTTCCGCCCCTCCCCCACCTCCTTGACTCCCCTCCCCCCCATCCCAATGCTCCCAGTTCCGGACCATCGATCATTATGGGATGGAGCCCGAGGCCTCTCTCCGGGGGGGTCCCCGCCCCCCCCCCTTTGGCCCCCCGGGGGGTGGGGGAGGGGCAGCCCCGGCTCTTTCCCTGCCCTTATCAAGATTTTGGGGAATGAGGATGGAACTTGGGAATTTTTGCCCCCCCCGAGATGACGTCACTCCCAGTGCTCCCAGTCCCGCAGGGCCTTTCCCAGCGCCACCAGTGCCCGCTGAGCTGGGGCCGAGGTGTGCGGGGAACGCCCCCTCCCCAGAATTCGGAGGGACCCCACAATTGGCATGGAGGTACCGGGGGGGACGGGAGGGGGGGGGGTCCCAGTCCTGCCTCAATCCCCCTCACCCACCCAGACCACCCCCCCTTGCCCCCCCTCCAGTCCCCCAGCCCTCCAAAACCCCCGTACCCCCCCCAGCCCCCTTTAACCCCCCCCAAGTTTAACCCCCCCCTCACCCCGGACACCCCCAGAGCCCCCAGCCCCCCTTTAACCCTTCCCTGCATCCTCATTCCCCCCCCCTTTAACACCCCCTGCCCCCAGACACCCCTGGGCACCCCCAGACTCCAATTTACCCCCTGTGACGCCCCCAGACCTCATTTACCCCCTGTGACCCCACCAGACTCAAATTTACCCCCCATTTACCCCCATGAAACCCCCACACTGAGACCCCCATTTGGCCCCCGTGCACCCCCCATTTATCCCCTTGACCCCATTTACCCCCCATTTACCCCCCAGACCCCCTTTATGACCCCCCAGACCCCATTTAACCCCCATTTCCCCCTGAGACCCCACTGACCCCCCCATTATTACCCCCAGACTTTATTTAAACCCAATTCCCCCCCGGCCCCCATTATGGCACCCCCAGACCCCGTTACCCCCCCAGACCCCATTTCCCCCCAGCCCCCACCGAGCCCCCTTTTCCCCCATTTCCCCCCCACACCCCCATTATGCCCCCCAGACCCATTTCCCCCCCACTGACCCCATTTCCTCCCCCGACTCAATTTCCCCCTCGCATTTCCCCCATTCCCCCCCAGATCCCACTTCCCCCTCAAGACCCCCCCAGACCCATTTCCTCCCCATTTTCCCTCACTGACTCCCCATTTCCACCTCTTTCTCCCCCAAACCCCCATTATGACACCCCCAGACCCATTTCCTCCCCATTCACCCCCATTTCCCCCTCCCAGACCCCATTTCCTCCCCATTGCCCCCCATTGTGACCCCCCCAGACCCCATTTACCCCCATTCCCGCCCACTGCCTCCCCATTTCCCCCCTAGACCCCCATTTCTCCCCCCTGACCCCATTTCCTCCCTATTTCACCCCCCATTTGCCCCCAATTTACCTCCCCAGATCCCCATTATGACACCCCCAGACCAAATTTCTCCCCCCCAGACCAAATTTCTCACTCCATTTCCCTCCTGTGACACCTCCAGACCCCATTTCTCCCCCATTTCTGCCCCCCAGACCCCCATTATGACACCCCCAGACCCATTTCCTCCCCATTAGCCCCCATTTCCCCTCCATTTCCACCCCCTAGATTCCCATTATGACACCCCCAGACTCAATTTCTCCCCCGCAGACCCCATTTCTCCCCCATTTCCCCTCTATTTCTCCGCCTAGGTCCCCATTATGACGCCCCCAGTCCCATTTCCCCCCATTAGTCCCCCATTTCCCCCCATCATGACACCCCCAGACTCAATTTCTTTCCCCCCAGACCCCATTTCCCCCCCAGACGCCCCCCCCGGTCACTCCCGCTGCCCCCCGGGACGCGGCTCTGGCTGAGGCCGAAGGCTCCGTCCTGTCCCTCCTCCTCCTCCTCCTCGCCGTCACCAGCAGGTGCTGCTGGTGCTGCGCCCCCTCCCCGAGCCCCCAGACCCATTTACCCCCCACTTCACCCCCATTTCCACCCCCCAGACTCCCATTATGACACCCTCAGACCCAATTTCGTCCCCCCAGACTCCATTTACACCCCATTAGTCCCCATTTCCCCCTCATTTCCTCCCCAGACCCTCATTATGACACCCCCAGACCCAATTTCTCCCCCGCAGACCCCATTCACCCCCATTTCCCCTCCATTCCCCCACTAGGTCCCCATTATGACACCCCCAGACCCAATTTCTTTCCCCCTAGACTCCATTTACCCCCGTTTATCCCCATTTCTCCCCCCCAGACCCCATTTCCCCCCATTTATCCCTGTTATGAGACCCCCAGGCTCAGTTTCTCCCCCCCAGACCAAATTTCTCACTCCATTTCCCTCCTGTGACACCCCCAGACCCCATTTCTCACCCATTTCTGCCCCCCAGACCCCCATTACGACACCCCCAGGCCCATTTCCTCCTCATTAGCCCCCATTTCCCCTCCATTTCCACCCCCTAGATTCCCATTATGACACCTCCAGACCCCATTTCTCCCCCATTTCTGCCCCCTAGACCCCCATTATGACAACCCCAGACCCATTTCCCCCCCATTTATCCTCCATTTCCCCCCATTTCCCCCCATTATGACTCCCCCAGACTCAATTTTTTTCCCCTACACGTCATTTACCACCATTTACCCCCATTTCCCCCTATTATGACACCCCCAGACCCATTTCCTCACTATTTTCCCCCCTCAGACCAAATTTCTCACTCCATTTCCCTCCTGTGATACCCCCAGACCCCATTTCTCCCCCATTTCTGCCCCCTAGACCCCCATTATGATGACCCCAGACCCATTTCCCCCCCATTTATCCTCCATTTCCCCCCCATTTCCACCCATTATGACACCCCCAGACCCATTTACCTCCCATTTTCTCCCCATTTCCCCCTCTGCTGACCCCATTTCCCCCCATTATGACACCCCCAGACCCAATTTCTTCTCCCCCAGACCCCATTTACTCCCCATTTCCCCCTGACACCCCCAGACCCCCATTATGACACCCCCAGACCCCATTTCTCCTTCCATTTACCCCCTCTGACACCCCCAGACCTAATTTAACCCCCATTTCTCCCCCCCAGACCCAATTTTCCCCCCATTAGCCCCCATTTCCTCCCCCTAGACCTCCCATTATGACACCCCCAGACCCCATTTCTCCCCTCGGACCCTCCTTTATGACTCCCCAGACCCATTTATCCCCCAAATTCAGCCGCTAGACGCCCATTATGGCACCTCCAGACTCAATTTCTTCCCCCCAGACCCTTTTCCCCCTCATTTTCTCCCCACTTCTCTCCCCATGACCAAATTTTCTCCCCGTTTCCCTCCCTTATGATCCCATTTCCACGCCCTAGACCCCCATCATGACACCCCCAGACTCAATTTTCTCCCCATTTTTCCCCCCCAGACGCCCCCCCCGGTCACTCCCGCTCCCCCCAGGGACGCGGCTCTGGCTGTGGCTGAAGTCTCGCTGCTCTCCCTCCTCTTCCTCCTGGCTGTCACCAGCAACCTCCTGGTGCTGTTCGCGCTCCGCCCCGCTCCCCGCGCCCCCCGCGCCCCCGGGCAGCCCCCGGCCCGCCCGGCGCGGCCGCTCCGCCGCTACCTGCGGCACCTGAGCCTGGCGGACCTGGCGGCGGCGGCGGGGCTGGTGCTGCCGCAGCTGCTCTGGGACCTCACGGACCGGTTCCGCGGCCCCGACCCGCTCTGCCGCCTCACCAAGTACCTGCAGGGCGTCGCCATGTTCGCCTCGGCATACGTGGCCGTGGCCATGGCGTGGGACCGGCACCGGGCCATCTGCCGGCCCTTGGGGACAGCGCGGGGGACAGCGAGGGACGGGGAGGGGAGCGGGTGGAGCTGGGGCAGGGGGAAGGGGGACACCGGGAGGGTTGGGGACATCGCGAGGGACACTGGGGGCACCAGGACACGGGGACACTCCGCGTGCTGGAGGTGGGGCAGGGGGCACGGGGACGCCGGGGATAGCGCTGGGGACACCGCTGGGGACAGTGGGGACACCCAGGGAGGGACACGGAAACAAACAGGGGGACATGGGGGCACTGGGGACACCAGGACATGGAGACAAACTGGGGGACACAGGGACACAGGGGACATTGGGGACACCGGGATGCGAGGTCACTCCGGGTGCTGGAGGTGGGGCTGGGGACGCAGGGACATTGGGGACACCGGGAATGGGGGACACGGGGACACTGGGATACGGGGACAGTCCAGGTGCTGGAGTTGGGGGCAGAGAGGGGCCGGGGGTGCTGGGAGTGAAGTATGGGGACACTGGGGACATGGGGACACTGGGGACACTGGAAGTGGAGTGCAGGGACATGGGGACACTGGGGACACTGGATACACCGAGAGGGGGACACGGAGACAAACTGGGAGACACGGGGACACTGGGGACACTGGGGGCATTGGGAATGGGGTGCAGGGACATGGGGACACTGGGGACACCCGAGGAGGGACATGGAGACAAACGGGGGGACACGGGGACACTGGGGGTGAGCTGTGGGGACATGGGGACACTGGGAGTGTCAGGGTCTGGGGGTGGCAGCGGAAGGGGATTGGGGACAGCAGGGGCACCAGAGATGGGGACGCACGGGGACAGGGAGGTGGGGACACTGGGGACACTGGGAGTGGCACAGGGGGACACTCGGGGTGCTGGGGATGGGGACACAGGGACACCGGTGACACCAGGGGTGGGACACAGGGAGCCAAGGGGTGCTGGGGATGGGGACACAGGGACAGCGGCAGGGACACGGGGCCACAGGGACGCAGGGACACCTGGGATGGCACCTGGGAACCGGCCGGCGGCTGGGGACACGGGGACAGCGCTGGGGACAGCACTGGGGACAGCACTGGGGACAGCAGGGACAGTGGGGACAGCATTGGGGACATTGGGAACAGTGGGGACAGCAGGGACAGCACCACTGCCATGTCCCCCCTGTGCCCCCCAGGGCCCTGTGCCACCCCAGTGTCCCCAACCCTCCATGTCACTCCAGTGTCCCCAACCATCCACATCACCCCAGTGATCACCCCAAGTCCCAATGGCAGCCCAATGTCCCTCCATGTCACCCCAATGTCTCACTGTGTCACCCCAGTGTCTCCAAGCCCCAATGGCACCCCAATGTCCCACCGTGTGTCCCCAGTGTCCCTCCATGCCACCCCAATGTCCCACTGTGTCACCCCAATGTCTCTAAGCCTCAAAGGCACCCCAAAGTCCTTCCATGTCACCCCAGTGCCACCAAGTCCCAATGGCAGCCCAATGTCCCTCCATGTCACCCCAATATCCCTCCACGTGTCTCCTCCAAGCCCCAATGTCACCCCAGTGTCCCCAAATCCCAATGGCACTCCAATGTCCCTCCATGCCACTCCAATATCCCACTGTGTCACCTCAATGTCCCCAAGCCCCAATGGCAGCCCAATGTCCCACCATGTCACCCCAATGTCCCTCCGTGTTACCCCTGTGCCACCAAGTCCCAATGACAGCCCAATGTCCCTCCGTGTGTCCCCAATGTCCCCATCACCCCCCTTGTCACCCCAGATGCCCACCAGGTGCCTGTCACAGGCCACCCTGGGGGGTTCCTGGGCCACCACAGGGATGTCCAGGGCCACCATGGGGGGGTCCTGGGCTGCCATGGGGGACTCTGGGACCACCATGAAGAGGAACCAGGCCAGTACGGGGGTCCCTCAACCCACTGCAGATGGGGACTCTGGGGCCACCACAGCAGAGTCCGGGGCCACCCCAGCTGGATCTGGGGCCACCACGGCGGGGCCTGGGGCCACCATTCAGGACTACAGGACCACCACAGAGGGGACCGGGCCCACCATGAAGAGGAACCGGGCCAGCACGGGGGTGCCTCGATCCACCCCTGCTGGGGACTCTGGGGCCACCACGGAGGGGTCCGGGGCCACCACAGCTGGATCTGGAGCCACCATAGAGGACTCTGGGACCACCACAGAGGGGACCAAGACCACCATGAAGAGGAACCAGGCCAGCACGGGGGTCCCTCAACCCACTCCAGATGGGGACTCTGGGGCCACCACGGCGGGATCCGGTGCCACCACAGCTGGATCCGGTGCCACCAGGTGGTGGTGGCGGGTGGCTGCGGGCCAGGCTCGCTCGGTTCTCTCCCGGTTCCGCTCGGTTCTGTCCCGGTTCCGCTCGGCTCTGTCCCGGTTCCGCCGCCGCTGGGACGCTCTGGCCACGGCCTGGGCCCTGGCTCTGCTCTTCGGGCTGCCCCAGGTCGGCATCTTCGGGCAGCGCGAGGTGGGCCCGGGCGAGAGCGACTGCTGGGCGGCGTTCGCGCAGCCCTGGGGAGCCCGCGCCTATGTCACCTGGGTGGCGCTGGCCGTGCTGGTGGCGCCGGCCGTGCTGCTCGGGGTGCTGCTGGTGGCCGTGGCCCGCGCGCTCCGAGGCTCCCCCGGCGGTCCCGGCGGGCTCGGCCGGGCCCGCGCCAAGAGCCACCGCATGGCCGTGGTGGTGCTGGGAGTGTTCGTGCTCTGCTGGACGCCCTTCTTCTGCGCCCAGCTCTGGGCCGTGTGGGACCCCCGAGCCCCCCGGGAAGGTGAGAGGGGACAGGGGACACATGGGTACACAGGGACATGGGGACATGGATGGGGACAGGGGGACACAGAGACATGGGGACACTGGGAGTGTTGGTGCTCTGCTGGACGCCCTTCTCCTGCGCCCAGCTCTGGGCTGTGTGGGACCCACGGGCACCCCGGGAAGGTGAGAGGGGACAGGGGACACGTGGGGACACAGGGACATGGGGACATGGGTGGGGACATGGGGACAGGGACAGGGGGACAGGGACATGGGGTCACAGGGACACAGGGACATGGGGACACTGGGAGTGTTTGTGCTCTGCTGGACGCCCTTCTCCTGCGCCCAGCTCTGGGCCGTGTGGGACCTCCGAGCCCCCCGGGAAGGTGAGGGGGGACATGGGGACACATGGGGACACAGGGACATGGGGACATGGATGGGGACAGGGGGACACAGAGACATGGGGACATGGGGACACTGGGAGTGTTTGTGCTCTGCTGGACGCCCTTCTCCTGCGCCCAGCTCTGGGCTGTGTGGGACCTCCGAGCCCCCCAGAAAGGTGAGAGGGGACACGGGGACACATGGGGACACAGGGACAGGGACATGGGACACTGACAGGGATGTGGACGGGGACATGGGAATAGGGGGACAGAGGACACAGGGACATGGGGACAGTTGTTGCTCTGCTGGACGCCCTTCTTCTGTGCCCAGCTCTGGGCTGTGTGGGACCCCCGAGTGCCGCGGGAAGGTGAGAGGGGACAGGGACAGGACGGGGACATGGGGACAGGGGTCACAAGGACATGGACATGGAGACACGGACAGGAACATGGGGTCACAGGGGGATAGGGGACACAGGGACATGGGGACAGTTTGTGCTCTGCTGGACACCCTTCTTCTGTGCCCAGCTCTGGGCCGTGTGGGACCCCCGAGCCCCCCGGGAAGGTGAGAGGGGACAGGGACAGGATGGGGACACAGGGACATGGGGACAGGAACATGGGGTCACAGGGACAGGGGACGGAGTGGGGACATGGGGGACATGGGGACAGTTGGTTCTCTGCTGGACCCCCTTCTTCTGCGCCCAGCTCTGAGCAGTCTGGGATCCCCCGAGCGCTCTGGGAAGGTGAGAGGGGACAGGGGGACACATGGGGACAGGGACACGGGGACAAGGGTGGGGACATGGGGATATGGGGACAGGGGGACGGGGGGACATGGGACACAGGGCAGGGTGTGGACATGGGGACAGGTAACATGGGGTCATGGGGACAGGGGGATGGGGTGGTGGGGACACGGGGACACAGGGACAGGGAGTTATGGGGACAGGGGGACATGGGGACGGGATCACAGGGACAGGGTGGGGACATGTGGACAGGGGGACATGGTGACATGGGGACACAGGGACATGGGGACATGGGGACAGGGGAACATGGTGACATAGGGACACAGGGACATGGGAACGGGACACAGGGACATGGGGACAGGAGACACAGGAACAGGGTGGAGACATGGGGACAGGGGACATAGGGACAGGAGTGGGGACATGGGGACACAGGGAGCGGGGTTACAGGGACAGGGGACGCAGGGACATGGGGACAGGGTCGCAGGGACATGGGGACAGGGTCACAGGGACAGGGGACATGGGGACAGGGTTGGGGTGGGGACATGGGGATGTTGGGGACAGAGAGGTGGGGCACATGAGGACAGGGTCACAGGGACTGGGGACACGGGGATGTGATGGGCATGGGAGAATGGGGACGGGGGACATGGGGATGTGGGGACAGGGAGAAGGTGACAGGGACACAATGATGGTGACATAGGGATGGGGTTGGAGTTGTGGGGGACATGGGAATGGGGCCGTGGGGGTGACAGGGCCAGGGAGGTGACAGGGCCAGGAGGACAGTGACAGGGCCAGGGAGGTGACAGGGCCAGGAGGACGGTGACAGGACCATGGGGACACTAGGACAGCCAAGGGTGACCCCGATATTTTCCCATGCCTGGCTGGGCTCTGGCTGGGGGTGGGTGGATGTGCCGCTCCCGGGGGTGTCCCCAGATGTCCCCAACTGTCCCCATGTGTCCCCAGGACCCGCGTTCACCATCCTGATGCTCCTGGCCAGCCTGACCAGCTGCACCAACCCCTGGATCTCGGCCGCCTTCAGCACCAGCCTGGCCCGGGCCATGGGCAGGCTCCTGTGTCCCTGCCGCCACCGCCATGGGGACACCGGGTGACATCGGTGACACCGGGTGACACAGGGTCACACAGGGCCATGCCCCGAGTGCTGTGTCCCTGCTGTCACCGCTGCAGTGACACCGGGTGACGCCGGGTCGCATGGGGTGACACGAGGTGACACAGGGTGACACAGGGTAACAGGGCCATGGCCCATGGCCTGTGTCCCTGCTGCTGCTGCTCAGGTCACACGGGGTGACAGGGGTGACACAGTGTGACACGAGGTGACACAAAGGCCTGAACGAGGATGGGGCTCACAATGGTGACTTGTGTGACACGAGGACACACAAGGGACACACACGGGGACATGGGGACACACGGGGGGGGTCTCGTGTCACTCGAGGGGCTTGTGTCACACGGTGGGGGTCACTCGAGTGTCACACGGTGGGGGTGACACAGTGGGGGTCACAAGAGTGTCACATGGGGTCACTCCAGTGTCACACGAGGGTCACTCCAGTGTCACATGGGGGTCACAAGAGTGTCACACAGGGGTCACTCCAGTGTCACATGGGGTCACTCCAGTGTCACACAGGGGTCACTCCAGTGTCACATGGGGGTCACAAGAGTGTCACACAGGGGTCACTCCAGTGTCACACGGGGTCACTCCAGTGTCACACGAGGGTCACTCCAGTGTCACATGGGGGTCACAAGAGTGTCACACAGGGGTCACTCCAGTGTCACATGGGGTCACTCCAGTGTCACACAGGGGTCACTCCAGTGTCACATGGGGGTCACAAGAGTGTCACACAGGGGTCACTCCAGTGTCACACGGGGTCACTCCAGTGTCACACGAGGGTCACTCCAGTGTCATACGGGGGTCACAAGAGTGTCACACAGGGGTCACTCCAGTGTCACACGGGGTCACTCCAGTGTCACACGAGGGTCACTCCAGTGTCACATGGGGTCACTCCAGTGTCATACGGGGGTCACAAGAGTGTCACACAGGGGTCACTCCAGTGTCACACGGGGTCACTCCAGTGTCACACGAGGGTCACTCCAGTGTCACATGGGGTCACTCCAGTGTCATTGTTGGGGTCACACAAGGACTGAAATCTTGCATTGGGGGAGGGGTCGCACAAGGTTTGGGGCTCTGGGGGCGGGGCTTGCACGAGTGGGCGGGGCCACACCTGAGCCCCGTGCAAGGGACAGGGGGACACACCTGGGGACATAAGGGGAGGGCCAACCTCCCCCGCTCTGTGGAAAGCCAATCACCAATAAAGCAGATTTTTACCCAAATTCCTGATTTTTTTGTGGAAGACAGGAGATAAATAAAGAAGCCCAAGAGATAAATACAGGTAGCCCCAAAATCGAAAGAAATCGGCTAAAAAAAGGAAAAAAAAACCCCAAAAATGGAGAGAAATCAGCCCAAAATGGAGAGAGAAGGGGGTAGATCCCAAAAATAGAAATCAGCCCAAAAAGGTGGGGAAGGATCCCAAAATAAAGTGTAATTAGCCCAAAAAGAGGGGGAAAAAGGAGGGGGAAATCCCCAAAATTGAAGGCATCAGCCCAAAAAGTGGGAAAGATGCCAAAAATCAAAAGAAATCAGCCCAGAAAGTGCGAAAAAGGAGGAAAAGATCCCAAAAAATGTGAGAAATCAGCCCAAAATGGAAGGAAGATCCCCAAAAAGGCAAGAAATCAGCCCCAAAAAGGGAGAAAGGCCCCAAAATAAAGCGGAATCAGCCCAAAAATGGGGAAAGAAGACCTTAAAAATTGAGAAAAATCAGCCCAAAAAGGGGCAAAGGATCTCAAAATAGAGAGGAATCAACCCAAAAATAGCTAAAAAAGGGGGAACTGTCCCAAAAATCAAAGAGGAATTGCGAAGGCCAGCAGGTGGCCTGGAAGCCTCACAGTCGCGGGTAACCCTGACCATAACTCAACCAGTCTCTGCCGTTAAAGGAGAAGAAATCAATGTTAATATTAATTAAAATAACAACAACAAAAAGACCTCCCCTCCAAAAAAAAAAAAAAAAACACAACAAATAAAAACAAACAAAAAAAGAAAAGCCCGACCCAAACTAAAACTACCAGCAGCAAAATAAACAAGTAAAACAACCAGAAACACAAACCCTCACCCAGCTCCAGAGGTGAAACATGATAAACATGTTAAATACGATAAACCTGGCCCCAGTGAGGTTTTGGGGTGTCAGATGTCTCTGCCTCATCCCCCACAGGTGCTGGCACTCCATGCTGGCCTTGCTCGTCCTGCTGCTCTTCGAAATGCTGCTTATTGAATGCAAAATGGAGCTTATTGTATACAAAATGCAGTTCATTGTATGCAAAATTGAATTTATTGTACAAAAAAATGCAGCTTATTGCATACAAAATCCTGCTTATTGTATATAAAATGCAGTTTATTGCGTACTAAATGCCATTTATTGTATACAGACTGCAGTTTACTGTATACGAAATGCTGTTTATTGTATACAAAGTACTGCTTATTGTGTACAAAATGCAGTTTATTGTACACAAAGTGTTGTTTATTGTATACGAAATGCAGTTTATTGTATACAAAATGCTTAATATTGAATATAAAATGCAGTTTATTGTATACAAAATGTTGCTCGTTGTATACAAAAGGCTGTTTATTCTATACAAATTGCAGTTTATTGTATACAAAACACCGCTGATTGTATACAAACTGCTGCTTATTGTATGCAAAATGCTGCTATTGAATACATAATGCAGTTTATTGTATACAAAATGCCAGTTATTGTATACAAAACACAGTTTATGGTGTACAAACTGCAGTTTATGATACACAAAATGCCATTTATTGCATACAAAATGCAGTTTATTGTATTCAAAATGCAATTTATTGTATACAAAATGCAGTTTATTGTATCCAAGAGGTTACAGCAGTCCAGGGTCGTTGGTGACAGAGCTGTGCCTACAGCTGTCAGCTCCAGCCAAGCCTGGAAACCCTTCAGTTTTGGTTATATTGCATTATATATTTTCCTTTGCTGAGCATCTTAACACATGACAACCAATCTATCCCTTTACTTTTACCCATAGCCTGTCATACCTACTGTCATTACCATGTTATGGTTAATTCTATCCAATCACATGAGTTAGTACGGCACAGTTTAAGCTGAAAGTTGTTTTTCAGTTTTCTTGCAGTGGAAAATTCTGAGACCTTTTTTTCTACTTGCCCCACCAGCATGTTTGTTTGCCTGTGGTGCCTTTCTGCTTGATAAAAAAATCCTTTTGTTTGGGCTCAGCTCATGCTTTGCTCTAAGTCACAAAACCTCTTCCCAACTCAACATAACCTTGGAAAATGTTATGAAAAATGTAAATTATATGATTGGCTCTTTGCAAATATTAAAATTAATACTACATGTGTTAGAAAGTTATGCTGCATTAATCTCTTTTAAGTAATGTGGTAAATAGAGTTTTTAGGCTATAGCATAACATTAAAATAGAAATTATGCGATGCAAGATACTTTTTGTAACTAGCTCAAGGAAATTCTTCACACAGAGATAACAGCAACAAGACACCAAGAGTTCAAGAGGAGAATTATTGCCTCCTTACTGGGAAAAGCCAGACTTCAATCATCAAGGTGATTGATTTACAAGATAAGAGAGGAAGTTGACAATAAACAGAAAAATCCATGGTTTGAAAGGGATGTTTGCATCATGTATGAGATATATGAATATGCAACAGGCTGTTGCTTTTAAGGGTTGTGCTTTGTTAGTGAGCAATGCTTTTTGGGGGCTTAATGCCCAGGAAGCATCTGGACATCCATAATTCTTTGCTTTTATTGTCCTTTATTGTCCAAACTCTGATTGTCCAAATTCTTATTGCTCTAATTTGTATTACTAGTTTTATAACTATTTATTACTATTAAACTTTTAAAAATTTTAACACCAGAGATTGGTGTTTTTCACAGTTTCCCTGTAAGACTGGCTCAGCAATTGTCAATTTACACATCTGTTGTTCTTCTGTATCAAAACTTGCTTCCATCTCTATTTTTTTTCTCAGGTTCTGCATTCAGAGATCTTTCTGCCAAGCACAAAAATATCTGTGAGGTTTTTTTGTCAAACTTTCATTCTTCCCAGCTCCTAGGGACAGGGAGCTGGCAGAGCCTGGGGACAGCAGAGCTGTGGCATTCACATTCTCTGGAAAATCCCTTCGCCCAGGATTTTTTCTCCTGGGAAGCTGAAAAACCTGAGAGAAAAAGGAAAACAAGAATTATCTCATTTGCTTCTCCTCTGTTTTGCTCATGTGGAATGCGTTTGGAGATTGTTTACCCACAGGTGATTGTTCCATTGGATTCTGCTGTGAGTTATTTTGACTCATTGGTCAATCAGGGCCAAGCTCTGTCAGGACTCTGGAGAGAGTCGCGAGTTTTCATTATTATCTTTTTAGCATTCTGTAAGTGTCCTTTCTGTATTCTTTAGTTAGTAGAATAGAATAGAATAGAATAGGTCATAAACTAATAAATTATCCTTCTGAGAACATGGAGTCAGATTCATCATTCCTCCCTGCCACAAGGGTCCCTGCAAATAAAATTTTTACCACCCTGGGTGGCACTGGTGTGGAGAATATTGTTAATAAATGGTTAAGTGAGAAAAATCATCCTGACATAATGCCGCTGGTTAAGCTTGATAGGGAGGACAGCAGTCTTTGATTCAGTGACTGCTGACAGGCAAGAATGCCGGATGACCTTGCTGCAACATGAGGAAAGGGAGGTGAGATTAGTCCTGAATATCTGCAGAATGTAACAGAAGAATAAGCACAAGAATGTAGAAGTAGGTGTAGCTGCTGATATGTAACTAACCAATCCTGAGCTCAACTTTTGCAATATGTATGAAGCTTATTAAGAACTGTATTTAACCCGCCGTATTCGATCAATAAATCGGACTTGGATGAACCAATTGGTGTCTGGGTCTCCTTCCTCCGACACACTGGGGACCCTGACTGCTGCTGGGGGCACTGGGATTGGAGTTCTGCTGACACTCACCCAAGCAAAGGCCAGCAGCAGTGTTCCCTATTGGATTAGAAAGTTACATACTTGTCAGGAAGTTAATCCACAAACACCTGGAGGTTTATGTCCAAACAGGAGACAGAAGAGTTCTTTGACTTTATTTGAATAAAGGGAGAGACCATGGAGCATTCCCCTGGGGTCTCTCCAGTTTTTGGAGGATGCAGCCTCCTTTTTATCCCAATTTCCCTTCTCTCTTTCCCCATTTCTGGGGTACTTAAGAGGTACAGACTCCCCAAAACATCTGATACCAAAGATTTCCCTCTAATATATAACACTCCCTTTTAATTTTTAATTCTTATG